ATGGGCGGGTGGCATCAGACAGATCTCATCATCATGTATGGACCTATAGGATCTTTCCTTGCTAATAAATGTGCCTGCTTTATCACATAGGAAAGTATCGTGTATACTAAGGCTTCTTTCATAATGACCCAGTCTAGCCATTACGTAGCTATTCTATTTTTTCAGAAGTATTAAAATATGAAATTATTAATACCATGACTTAATAAAAGGTTTTGTTAACTACTATGACTGATCACGCCTCATTTCTCTGTTTTCACTTTTTCTATGCAATATTAAGCTTATTATTTATTCTAGGAAAACTTTGAAATCCTTTCATCAAGTTTATCCTTATTATAGTGGGCATTTTTTCATAACATTAATATTTATTACTTTATATGAATACTGTATTGAAAGCCCAAGCATTCAGTTTACAAACAGAGATTATACAATTATATGCCACTCCCCAAAGGCAGTCAATCCAAAATCTACTTTACATAAATTTTAAAAATCTAAATATCAAAAGGTATAGCTTTTCAAAATTATAATTACCTTCCAGTTTAAAACATTTAGATCTAGGGACCAGCAGTTAGCGTAATGGCTATGTCACTGGACTCCCATGTAGCCAACCGTGGTTCGTGCCCCGGACCCGGTGGCCTAAAACTCACGCCGGGCACGTGTGCATGCATGTCCAAGATCCCAAGAGGAGAATGGAGGAGAAGGGATTGCGGTGTGGCCATCCCCCCGAGGGGTGATTTCTTGCTTTCTATCTCTCTGTCTCTCTCTGCCTATCTGGTGAGCGTATGTGCCCTATAGCAAAAACCTCTCAAAAAAAAATTTAGATCTAAATGTAAAAGGAAAAAGTCTATACACAAACCACTGATTTGACCAAATGCCCAACAAGAAAACGAAAAAAGAAAAAGAGAAAAGCAGTAAGCAGGACCCAGAGGAGCTGATATTCACAGTTCTTAATGTGCAACTCTTTCAGGATTTATCCATAAAGCACCTTATTTTACAACCTGCTTCTCTTGTAAAACTAAAGGCCCACTTTATTACATAAAAGTTTTTACCCAGGGTAAAGCAAGAACTGTATGTAAAATACTGCATCAAAATGTTCCTCAATAGTTAGTCTTGTTCTATTGGTTCATCTGTGACTTGTGTGGTTTCCTCATCATTAGCGACGGATGATTCTGATATAACTTCTCCAGTTTTACTGGAGTTGGATCCCACTATTCTGTTTCACAGCAGTCTGAACCAACTTATAGGACCTGCATTTACTTTACCTGTAGAATGTAAATCTTTCTCAGCTTAAGACAGATGAGATTCTTCCATTTGATTATTCTCCTCAGAAGTCTCTTTGTTCACAGTTAAGGCATCATCAGGTTCTTTTTTTAAATTATTTTTTCTTCTTGGGATTATGTCTCCTGATGTCACAAAAAAACTCTTCTTCTTCTTCCTCTTCATCCTCTTCTCCATCTTCTTCTGTACAGTGCTGACTGGTGAAACTACTTTCTTTGTCTTTGTCCGGGGAGGAAGATGATGCTTCTGTTTCTTCTACCGTAACAAGAGAAATTTCACTGGAAGTTGTTTGGCTGAGTGTCTCTCTGACTTCACCTTCTTTGTCCAACCTGAGTTTGTCAAACCTGATGCCCCTCAGCTTCCACAGCTGGGTGTTTACTTTTTATTGGGCTCACTGAGGAAACCTCTGAATCAGACCAGAGAGTCACTGATTTTTCTCTTCATTCTGCTCTAAGTCGGACTCTGCTGTCTGTGCTCTCAGGCAAAGCATTAGTTGTCATGGGGGCTGACAAAGAAACCGTTGGTCAATTAACTGACCTGGGTGGTCCAGGCCCATTCATATTAGACCTGTCCTACAGCTTGGTGAATTTCCAGGAAACATAAGTCCGGCATTCGATTAAAACTATCGGAACTAGTTTTCTCTGAAGATAAACGCAGCTGACTATCATTACCTTCTTGTCTACTCTGAGAAATTTGTTCTTCTATAGTTTCTCCTTGGATCTGTTAGCAAGTCACACAGTCGCTGTGTAGTAAAAGGGACACCATTAAATCCAGCGACAATTTTCAGTATTCTTTCCTTCATTGCATCCAAGGGAATACATTCGACATTAGGATTGGGAGGACTTCTTGGTTCAGGAGCTGAAGTTCTGAAATCATCATCACTTTCTCCAGTTCAAAAATAAAATAGCCTTTAAATTGAGCCCACTGAATCACTGTTTCTCCGGTGTCTGCTACATGACAAAGAAACTGATCCAGGACAGGACAAACTTCCCTTTCCCCGCCTCTTCTCAAAATTCTTTAGTGCCTCCTGCAGCCTCTAGACCTCCAAGGCTTCCCACAGTCTCTCGCAGCCTCCGCCTCCCTCCACTGGTCTCCCGTTACCAGACTGCCTCCCCCTACCTCCCCAGCTTGCATGACTGTAAATATGTGAATTTGAAAATACTGAGTTTAGCGTAATCATTGTGCTTTGTGTTGATCTGAAAAATATAACACTGACTGTTGAAGGAGCATGTTCAGATGCATGTTCAGATATATTTAATTCACTTCAAAATGTCATAAGAATTATGGTGATTTCTATGTACCCTTAAAGCCTCAGTTATTTAGTTCAGGTACTTTACTAAAGGAATATATTCATTCTCCCAGACCAGTGGTGTTTTACACCAATGACATTTGCATACTCAAGAATGATTTAGAAAGAAATGTGTGATATTCACAATGTTCAGAAAAGCAAGCAAAAGGTCAAGGACTCTGCCTGGTTCCTCTGAGATGGTCTCATGTCGGCTACATAAGCATTCACTCTACAAAACAGTAAGCTAATGTTGGAACACAGTTTCCAAGATAAAACACATTTTCTCATAAACAAGGAAGTCTTTTTCTCAGGAACCTCAGAAATATACAGAAGAATTTTAGTTTGAACAGCTCTCTGGGAATGTGTATAACCTGGTATTTCAACGGACTTAAGATTTCTGGGGTTTCACAAGAGCCAGATTTTATTTGAATTACTCAGAAGAGAAAGAAAATGTCTTCTGAAAGAGGTGAACTCAGTCATTACCAATAGAAACAGAAAAATATAATATTTCCCCCTTAGAATTTTACATATATAT